CGCTCCGCTGCGAAGCTCCACTCCGACCACCTCCACCTCCGCCACCCCCGCCTCCGCCTCCACCGCCCCCGCCTCCGCCTCCACCGCCGCCACCTCCGCCACCTCCGCTACCACCGCCACCGCCGCCGCCACCCCCGCCTCCACTGCCGCCACTAGCACCCCCACCCCCGCTACCACCTCCACCGCCACCCCCACTCCCTCCGCCGCCTCCACCTCCACCTCCACCGCCCCCACTGGCCCCACCCGCTCCCTTGCCCCCCTTGCCCTTGCCAAAGCGGCGTCTCCTGCTAGGGGCAGACGCCGCACCGACCGACTCAAGACCAACGAGGTCGGCCGCAGCGGCAGAGGCGACAAAGGGCAGGAGAGGGGAAGGGGAACACCCCTCAAAGATGGGGGCGCGGGGGTCACCTCGAGAGGCTTCTACAGCAACTATGCTCTTCTCTGCTGCAAGGAGGGCCTTCTATAGGCTGTCGACTGTGAGGGTGGTGGGACAGACTGCGAGGAAGTGGTCCCGGACTACACGAAGGGAGTCAGGGAGGCGAGTGACTAAGAAGTAGAGAGTGATGTACATGGGGGGGGGGTTCTTGGCGCAGAAGTCAGCAGGAAGCACAGCGCGGTAGCGAGTGTCACTAGTGCGGAGGTGCGTGATGAGATCAGCGACAGTGGGAAAGGCGGCAAGGTCAGGGAAGAGGAAGGGGAGCATGAGGCGGCTCAGTGCAGCAGTGGCAGGGGAGGAGTAGCGCGCAACTACAGCGTCGTACAAGGTCTGGGCACTCTTGTACTGGCTAAAGTGCGCGCGCTCAGCGGTAGGCAAGTGGCGACGCACAGCAAGACGTGCAGCAGCATCGCGCGTGGCCCACTGTGAGCGAACAGTGGCGTCAGCATCAGCAGCAGGGGAAGGGACGGCGCCAGAGGTGAGGTCAAAGAGAGACAGACCGTCCGCCCTATCGCACTGTAAAAACAGCTGCAGGTCGTCGAGCCAGACCTCGAAGTCTATGGCTCGACCCTCAGCGTCAAAAGCGAGGACACTAGGGGTAGCCATGACGACGACAGTGAAGCAGTGCAAGCAGTAGGGGAAGGGCACGCAGTGATAGCGGGACAGTGCTCACCGCGCAGGGCACGTCGGGCGGCTCAGTAGAAAGGCGGCTCGGCTACTCAGCGACTCGGCTCCCGGGCGGCTCGGCCCCCAGGCGGCTCGGCGGTAGGGCAGCTCGGGCGGGGCGGCTCGGCTGCCGGGCGGCTCGGGTGCAAGGGCGGCTCGGCTGCACTGCTGCTCGGCTGCTGCAGTTGGGCGGCTCGGCTGCTGCAGTTGGGCGGGGCGAGAGCAAGGGGCGGCGGGGCCGTGAGTGCTGGGGCGGCGGGGCCGTGAGATCAGGGACGGCAAGGCCGCGTATCAGGGGCGGCGGGGCCGGGAGCGCTGGGGCGGCGGGGCCGCATATCAGGGGCGGCGGGGCCGGGAGCGCTTGGGTGGCGGGGCCGCGAGATCAGGGGCGGCGGGGCCGTGAGCGCTAGGGCGGCGGGGCCGCGAGATCAGGGGCGGCGGGGCCGGGAGCGCTGGGCGGCGGGGCCGCGAGATCAGGAGCGGCGGGGGCGTGAGCGCTGGGGCGGCGGGGCCGTGAGATCAGGGACGGCGGGGCCGCGAGCGCTGGGGCGGCGGGGCCGCGTATCAGGGGCAGCGGGGCCGGGAGCGCTGGGGCGGCGGGGCCGCGAGATCAGGGGCGGCGGGGCCGGGAGCGCTGGGGCGGCGGGGCCGTGAGCGCTGAGGTGGCGGGGCCGTGAGATCAGGGATGGCGAGGCCGCGAGCGCTTGGGCGGCGGGGCCGCGAGATCAGGGGCGGCGAGGGCCGCGAGTTCAGGGGCGGCGGGGCCGCGAGATCAGGGGCGGCGGGGCCGCTGGAGCAGGGGCGACGGGGCCGCGAGATCAGGGGCGGCGGAGCCGCGTGAGTAAGGGCGGCGAGGGCCACGAGAGCAGGGCGGGGAGGCCGCTAGAGAAGAGGCGGCGGGGCTGCGTTCACTGGGTGGCGGGGCCGCGAGGGTAAGGCCGGCCACTAGGGCGGCTCGGGGAAGGAGTGGTCCGAGGCGCGACCCGGGATGAGTGCGCTTCGGGCAGGGAAAAAAAAATTCGAGTGGTGGGCCCTAGGCACAGTTCCCACAGGGGAACCTGCTCGATACCATGAGGAAAACTGAACGAGAATGAGTGGACTATGAAATGAAGTGAGTACAAATATGAAACCCTAATTGGGTTGTACCCCCTATGGGATACCCCACTAGAGCATACAGAAATGAGTAAGTTATAATGTTCTGACAGTATTCTACCAACCCTTAAAAGTAAATACAACGCTTCCTTGTGCGAGGTACACCCTTATGCTATACTCCTCTTCATGATTTTCACGAATGCTAACGACCTCACCCGACAAGTGTCGCAAGACTTGGCAGCGCGCGATGGCGGCTTGTCCAATGACAGGAAGCCCTCACGGGTCATTGTAACCTAATGTTGGGAAAAACTGACCGTGGTCTCGCCTGCACGCCACAGTGTATTTCATCAGCGGACCTGTCCGAAGCTGGCTCGCCAGTTCAGTCCTCGCCTGGTCCAGCGGACCAGACCACGGTTTTGGGGAGCAACATTTCCAAGAGCGGACCGGCTCGCGGACTCCTGTAAGTGAGACACGTCCTTAGCTTGGCTCGGTGTGATTGTATTATGGTTTGGGTTTTGGCAATTGATTCCGATTTCGGGCATTTCGTTTTTTTCGCCAAACCCAGCCAACCCGCGTATTTCGCCCTGGGTGTTGTGGCAGCTCCCCAAAGTCCCAAATTGCAGGTGCGTTGACTTTCAAAGCTTGCACACCCCACTTCGTAAAGTTTAAAAAACTTTGGCGTTGTTCGCCAGCACATTAAAATGAAGGGTTCGGAATGACCGTGGGATCAGGAACCAGAAGAGGAACCTCTCGAATAGGTATGGGGGGAAGGCCAAATCGCGAATTTCGCGTCAGAAAGGGGGAGGGTGGCAACGGGATCAGGAACCACCCTCCCCATCTTCCAAATCCCCGTCCCCACCCTCTACACCCTTCCAATCCCATGGCCATCCCAAGGCGATTCTGGTAGGGGGAATGAATGGCGATGGAATGGCGACATGATTTGCGTTTGCATGTAGAGGAAGCTCCCAACCCACTTTCCTATCCTCACAATTCCATTTGAAATTAATGAAAAAGAGGGCGTTCGACAGGCCAACATGATTCTGTTTGGTTCAGACGGAATCATAGGTTCGGCAAGAATTTCGCGGGCCGTCCTGCCTGACGGACCCTAACGAACTCTGACGGACGGGATCAGGAAGCCAAGACTGACCTTCCTAATCTCGTCATTTTTGTTGTTAAAAGTGCTGACGAACAACACCTTGATGACGAAATCTCTCGTTCACAGTTGTAGCGGGAAGGGGGTGATTTCGACATGAGAAACTGCGTAGGAACCCGCGTCATTTACCTTCGCCCCCCCTCTCCCCCCCCCCCCTCCCCCGGGCATGTGCCTACAAAACAGAGCCAACATTCAAGATCTTATACTTTCAGGCAGATATGCACACATGTCCAAATAGCCTATTTTACGTTATAAAAGCTATGTTACTCACTCAGGAGAGCTATGGCACAACTTCACTACCCAATGTAGACGATGGTTTGCTCCTGCAACACACAACACAAAGAAAACAGGACACACGAGATCGCAGGATTCTTACCACACGAATACGTGACAGGATCGCCTTCCGTATTCTGCACCGAGTGGCGACATTCAGACACGGGGAGGGTGGGTAAGAGTGAGGAATAAGTAGTGAGAACAAGTAGAGAAACATTGGTACACGAGGAAACGATTTTGTCACGCCACATGTGTCTATTATGCACCGCATGCTCACCAGCAGAGAAATCTGGCCAGATACGAAGCTAGTTGGTGATACAGCATCTGCAAAACATTCGCGGCAAAGGCAACGAGATTCGATGAAACAAACCATGTGACAGAGAGAAGGCATGTGGAAACCAGGCTGCTGACAAATAAAAATAAACGGAGGCAATGAAAAAATATAATCAGAGTGACGCCATGAAGCAAACGGAATGAAAGGGCGCTCATCCTGCAACCCCATCGTACAGCATTTCAGCTTACCTCACGACAAGCACAATTTACAGCTTGACTGAACAACAATTCTTAGGTCGATACGAGTCGAGAATAGAGCATCACGCATCGCCCCCGTGTTCGATATTCTGCCATGAAAAAACGATAACGAAATAAGACATATACGATGCATGTCATTCAAACAACGGCACCCCTAAAATACTACGACTTCGCTGGTGGAAAAGTGAAGGAACTTAATTCCTAAAACGTGCACGCGAAATCTGACCACAGTCAGAACATCACCAGGGCTAATCGCGACAACCTGCTTCTTGTTCAAGTAAGCTGCGTGTAACTCTCGTAGTAGCTGCTCCACGTGAGTATCGTGAGCTTAGATAGAGAATGACGGGTTGTGTTTGAACCAGGATGGACAAGGCTAGAAGGCAGTGATGGGTGAGGAGAGGCAGTAGAAGGTGGTTGTCAAAGAGCTACGATTGGTTCGTGATCTAAACTGTGCCACGTAACCCAACCCATCACTGTGATTACAGCATATTGAGTGATGTGATAAGATAATGGAATCTTTCTGGCTGACAACCGTTTACTTTTCAATTCGAATACGGAAAGACGAAATGCACAGTCAAGGCTTACCAAAGTGAAGCGAACTTTTGATTGACGCCGAGCCTCCAGCCGAAGCTAGGGGGTATCCTCGGGATACAACGAACTGATATGCCCCCCTGATTGGTCTATGGTTTCATAACGAAGGTGCGCGAACATTTCTGCGAGTGGTAATGAACTCGCCAGCACTCAAAGTTAACCTCGGGGGCACTTGTGGGAAACATGAGGGTTACGTCACGAGGGTGACCTTGGGGTATCCCTCGACTTCGGAGCGAATTTTGCGTTGTGATTTTTGGGATGAGTGCCAGGTGTTTCCACCAATAATCTGTTGTGTACATTCACAGGTATGCGCTGTTTGTCTTCTAATTGAATGTATAGAACGTGCAACAGAGGAAAAGCACCCCACGCACTCGTATTCCGGTAATTGTTTAGTCACTATCTCTTTATTTTGCTAGTTTACTGTATCTTACTGTACCTATTGACATTAATGTTTTCGAAACTCGCTGTGTTCATCCCTCCTTAGTATCAAGTTTTAAATAACGGGGAAACAAATGCAGGATTGAATGAACGAGTCCGAAAGACTGATAACGAGTTTCCTCTTCTAAACGAGTGCGCATCGGAATGTATTTGGACGGTCCGGCAGCCAATAGAAACAAAGTTAAAACAAATCGTCACGCGCCAGGTGTCCTGTGCGTGATCGCTCAAATTTCCCGAACCAACTCGGAGGGCTTGGGAGAAATTATCTGCACCAGTCGATCTCTACTTGTCAGATGTATCGGAAACCAATCGCAATTCGCGGGAAAACGCCAGGAGTCGAAAACCACTCGGCAACAACTCGTTCCCAACAAGTTTCCCACACCCCCCAAATTGGCGATGTCATTCACTTGATCGATTAGCTCCTTGGCAATTGTAGAGCTGCTACGTCCTCCTTTGAGACAGGAATCCGACACACACCCCACTCCAAGGTAAGCCCTGCCACCAAAATCCAGTAGGGAAACGGCGACTCGGTTCAAGGTCGTGTAGGCCGCATCATGCCAAGCATTCTCTCACGCTTGGCGCCAAGGCGTGAGAGCATGGCGAATGAACGCCCTGATCCAGCGCGCTCTCACGCTTTGCGCCAAGGCGTGAGAGCATGGCGAATGAACGCCCTGATCCAGCGCGCTCTCACGCTTGGCGCCAAGGCGTGAGAGCATGGCGAATGAACGCCCTGATCCAGCGCGCTCTCACCTGTTTCTCTCCCCCTGTGTCTCAGATCCGTTGTCACACCTTACTAGTACTACTAGTAGCCGCCAGCTCGAGGTTTTGGAGATTGACGAGTCAAGGATTCTCAAGGCGTCCAGCGCCAAGCCGCTATTTCCCCCGGGCTGCCTGCGATGAAGCACCAGCGATGCCACCAGCTTTCTGCCTTGAAGGCGGCGCTCCCCGCCGCGCTCTCCCCAGCGCTCACCATGGCGCTCTGGCTTGTCGCCTTCAACGTCTCGTCGTGCCACGCGCAAGTGATCAATGCTTCTCAAGGTAGTAATCCTAGCACCGCTCACCGTCCCACCCAACCTCCTCCAACCTGTGACAGTACTAATGGCTCAGCGATACCCGACTAGGGAGGCAGTAAAAGTAGTGTCATCTCCCTCCATTCCTCCCCTCCTAAGAGAGTACTCAGGTGGCTCCCTCCTCCCTCCCGAATTCCCTCCAACCCTATTCCCTCCCTCTCCCACTCCCTCCGTCCCTCCTCTCTCCCTCCTCCATTTCCTCCCTCCCACCCCCTCCTTCCCCCACTCCCTCCCTCCCCTCCCCCCTCCCTCCCCCACTCCCTCGCTTCCACATTCCCTACCTCTCCCACTCCCTCCTGCCCCCCCCCCTTCCCTCCCCCACTCCCTCCCTCCCTCCTCCCTCCCTCCTCCCTCCCCCACTCCCTCCCTCCCTCCCTCCCCCCCTTCCCCACTCCCTCCCTCCCTCTTCCCCCCCTTCCCCACTCCCTCCTTCCCCTTCCCCTCTCCCCCTCTCCTTCCGACGCATGGCTCGGATCTTATGCACTCATGCTACTCATGAGTGCTCATGTCACTCATTTCCTTCCGCGACTTTTCTTATGCCCTCTCCTCGCCCCAACACGTCAGGGTTGTTTCTCAGCGACGTCAAGACGGGATGGGGCATGGGGTGGAAGGTGGGAGACAAATGCAGCACTGCGGCATCTATCCTGTGCGACGCTTCAGGCATGATCACCTCGATGTGAGTGCACGCGTTAATATCTTGGATGGAAAGGTGCGTCTTCCATGACACACACACCATCTGCTGCCTGCCGCAGATGCTTCCCTCAGCTCCGAACCCGACCTCTCCCACCTCTCTCTCCCCCCGTAATCTACTTCTCCCATCACAGCTGCTTCCATTGCTCCAGGTTCCTCCCCTGATGCTATTTATTCCCCACGCCAGGCATCACTGTCGGCACTCCTCCACTGCCCATGCACTCTGCATGCCCACTCCTCCCCCCTTCTTCTGTCTGCATCGCGTTGCCATTCCTCGATCGTCTCTGCTGCACAAACCTTGTGGTCTCCCTTCATTGAGTTCACGTGTGCCTTGCTTAGTCGAACTCACAGTTGCCACTACACAATCTCTACCTTCACAATCACAAACCTCGGCAATTGCGTGGCTCTAGCCCTTTTGAATATATCATGCCTTCCAGGTTCCCGCCACCCTCTGTAGACAAGCATTTGAGCCTCTCGTCTTACCATGCGCAACTCACTCACCCCACACAGGCATCTTTTCGGTAACAATCTCACAGGCTCCATTCCCGACAGCATCTCTGCGCTCAGGGCACTCAGATACCTGTAAGAGGCATAATGGGTTTGCTCCACCTGCGTGCTGTTTTGCCCACTGGTGTTGCATGCCATGTGCGCATCACTGCTGGCGCTCCTCCACTGCCCATGCACTCTGCATGCCCACTCCTCCCCCCTTCTTCTCTCTGCATCGCGTTGCCACTCCTCGATCGTCTCTGCTGCACCAACCTTGTGGACTCGCTTCATTGAGTTCACGTGTGCCTCGCTTAGTAGAACTCACAGTCGCCACTACACAATCTCTACCTTCACAGTCACAAACCTCTACAATTGCCTGGCTCTATTCCTTCTGAATATATCATGCCTACCAGGTTCCCGCCACCCTCTGTAGACAAGCATTTGAGCCTCTCGTATTACCACGCGCAACTCACTCACCCCACACAGGCTTCTTTTCGATAACAATCTCACGGGCTCCATTCCCAACAGCATCTCTGCGCTCAGGGCACTCGGATACCTGTAAGAGGCATAATGGGTTTGCTCCACCTGCGTGCTGTTTTGCCCACTGGTGTTGCATGCCATGTGCGCATCACTGCTGGCGCTCCTCCACTGCCCATGCACTCTGCATGCCCACTCCTCCCCCCTTCTTCTGTCTGCATTGTGTTGCCACTCCTCGATCGTCTCTGCTGCACCAACCTTGTGGTCTCCCTTCATTGAGTTCACGTGTGCCTTGCTTAGTCGAACTCACAGTTGCCACTACACAATCCCTACCTTCACAATCACAAACCTCGACAATTGCCTAGCTCTAGCCCTTTTGAATGTATCATGCCTTCCAGGTTCCCGCCACCCTCTGTAGACAAGCATTTGAGCCTCTCGTCTTACCACGCGCAACTCACTCACCCCACACAGGCATATCGAACGCAACAATCTCACAGGCTCCATTCCCAAAAGCATCGCTGCGCTGACGGCACTCGAATACTTGTAAGCGTCACTCTGGGTTTGCACCACCTGCGTGCTGCTCTGGTCACTGGGTGCTGCATGCCATGTGCGCATCTTTGCTGGCACCCCTCCACGGCCCATGCACTCTGCATGCCCACTCCTCCCCCCTACTTCTGTTTGCATCGCGTTGCCACTCCTCGTTTGTCTCTGTTGCACCAACCTTGTGGTCTAGCTTCATTGAGTTCACGGGTGCCTTGCTCAGTAGAACTCACAGTTGCTACTACACAATCTCTACCTTCACAATCACAAACCTCTACAATTTTGGCTCTAGCTCTTTTGAATATATCATGCCTTCCAGGTTCCCACTACCCTTTGTAGACAAGCATTTGAGCCTCTCGTCTTACCATGCGCAACTCACTCACCCCACACAGAAATCTTGGTGGCAGCAGTCTTACGGGCTCCATTCCCGACAGCATCTCTGCGCTGAAGGATCTGACAGTGCTGTAAGAGGCATAATGGGTTTGCTCCACCTGCGTGCTGTCTTGCCCACCGGATGTTGCATGCCATGTGCACATCACTGCTGGCGCTCCTCCACTGCCCATGCACTCTGCATGCCCACTCCTCCCCCCTACTTCTGTCTGCATCACGTTGCCATTCCTCGATCGTCTCTGCTGCACCAACCTTGTGGACTCGCTTCATTGAGTTCACGTGTGCCTTGCTTAGTAGAACCCACAGTTGCCACTACACAATCTCTACCTTCACAATCACAAACCTCGACAATTGCGTGGCTCTAGCCCTTTTGAATATATCATGCCTTCCAGGTTCCCGCCACCCTCTGTAGACAAGCATTTGAGCCTCTCGTCTTACCACGCGCAACTCACTCACCCCACACAGGTATATCGACGATAACAATCTCACAGGCTCCATTCCCGACAGCATCTCTGTGCTGAAGGATCTGACATGGCTGTAAGAGGCACACTGGGTTTGCACCACCTGCGTGCTGCTTTCACTGGGCGTAGCATGCCATGTGCGCATCACTGCCGGCACTCCTCCACTGCATATGCACACCGCATACCCACTCCCCCCACCTCTCTCGTCTGCATAGCGTTGCCACTCCTGCCATGCCCTCTCTTCTCATCACGCTCAACTCACTCAACCCCATACAGGAGTCTTGGCGGTAACAGTCTCACGGGCTCCATTCCCGACAGCATCTTTGCGCTCACGGCACTCAAAATCCTGTAAGCGGCACACTGGGTCTGCACCACCTGCGTGCCGCTCTAGCCTTTTTGAAGATATCATGCTTTCCAGGTTCCCGCCACCCGCTGTAGACAAGCATTTGAGCCTAAGCATGGGCATTTGAAGGCTCGGATATCCTGACCCGACCCGCCCGGGTCGGGTCGGGAAAACCCGGACGGGTCGGACTCGTGACCCGTCACTGTGATTTAGTGACGGGTATTTGCGACCCGCCGGGTCAGGTTGACCCGTCTCGTCCGGGTCGCGTACCCAGTCAAATGACAGGGTACGTAAGATACGTATAATCTTAAGAACATAGTTGTGACATGTAGTTTACAATGTAGCAATTCAGACCTAACCCCCATACCCTGCTGCTATGTAACATATTTTGATCCGACCCGGTCTACCCGTGGTGTAACCGACCCGGTAACGGGTCACAAATACCCGTTCCCACGGGGCGGGTCGGGTCACCAAAACAGAGTCAATCCCGACCCGCTAACCCGACCCGACCCGACCCGTTAAGCTAACGGGTCGCTCTCAACGGGACGGGTCGGGCCGGGTCGGATCAAATGCCCATGCTTATTTGAGCCTCTCGTCTTACCACGCGCTACTCACTCAACCCACACAGGGATCTTCGCAGCAACAGTCACACGGGCTCCATTCCCGACAGCATCTCTGTGCTGAAGGATTTGACATGGCTGTAAGTAGGGATGAGCAAGGTGGCGTAAACCTGTTCGGTTCACCTCGAACACGTTCGGGGTGAACCGAACAGGTTTTGTTTTTCAACTCAAATCGTTTGCCGAACAGTGGCCGATGTTCGCCAGAACACGTTCGTGTTCGGGCCGCTGCTGAAATTTGCCCGCGACGAATACGAACAGTGTCCAAGAATTCGCCCGAACACGTCTCCACAGGCGAACAGCGAACACCTGTTTTTTCCTAAACTGTTCCTAAACTGTGCACTCTGGTTTATAGCATAGCACATTGCAAGGCATGCACAAGGTACTAGATGTAAGAGTATCATGAAGTCACACGTGAGTGTTTCTTTCTTTTCCTCCTGCCATGCCCTCTCTTCTCATCACGCGCAACTCACTCAACCCCACACAGGCTTCTTAGCAGCAACAGTCTCACGGGCTCCATTCCTTACAGTATCTCTGCGCTGAAGGAACTCGAATTGTTGTAAGAGGCACACTGGGTTTGCTCCATCTGTGTGCTGTTTTACCCACTAAATACTGCATGCCATGTGCGCATCACATCTGGCACTCCTCCACTGCCCATGCACTCTGAATGCCCACTCCTCCCCCCTTCTTCTGTCTGCATCGCGTTGCCACTCCTCTATCTCTGCTGCACCAACCTTATGGTCTCTCTTCATTGAGTTCACGTGTTCCTTGCGTAGTAAAACTCACAGTTGCCACTACACAATCCCTACCTTCACCATCACAAACCTCGACAATTGCCTAGCTCTAGCCCTTTTGAATGTATCATGCCTTCCAGGTTCCCGCCACCCTCTGTAGACAAGTATTCGAGCCTCTCGTCTTACCATGCGCAACTCACTCACCCCACACAGGAATCTTAGCAGCAACAGTCTCACGGGCTCCATTCCTTACAGTATCTCTGCGCTCACGGCACTTGGAAAGCTGTAAGAGGCACACTGGGTTTGCTCCATCTGTGTGCTGTTTTGCCCACTGGGTGCTGCATGCCATGTGCGCATCACATCTGGCACTCCTCCACTGCCCATGCACTCTGAATGCCCACTCCTTCCCCCTTCTTCTGTCTGCATCGCGTTGCCACTCCTCTATCTCTGCTGCACCAACCTTGTGGTCTCTCTTCATTGAGTTCATGTGTTCCTTGCGTAGTAAAACTCACAGTTGCCACTACACAATCCCTACCTTCACCATCACAAACCTCGACAATTGCCTAGCTCTAGCCCTTTTGAATGTATCATGCCTTCCAGGTTCCCGCCACCCTCTGTAGACAAGTATTCGAGCCTCTGGTCTTACCATGCGCAACTCACTCACCCCACACAGGGATCTTAGCAGCAACAGTCTCACGGGCTCCATTCCTTACAGTATCTCTGCGCTGAAGGAACTCGAATTGTTGTAAGAGGCACACTGGGTTTGCTCCATCTGTGTGCTGTTTTGCCCACTGGGTGCTGCATGCCATGTGCGCACTGCCCATGCACTCTGAATGCCCACTCCTCCCCCCTTCTTCTGTCTGCATCGCGTTGCCACTCCTCTATCTCTGCTGCACCAACCTTGTGGTCTCTCTTCATTGAGTTCACGTGTTCCTTGCGTAGTAAAACTCACAGTTGCCACTACACAATCGCTACCTTCACCATCACAAACCTCGACAATTGCCTAGCTCTAGCCCTTTTGAATGTATCATGCCTTCCAGGTTCCCGCCACCCTCTGTAGACAAGTATTCGAGCCTCTCCTCTTACCATGCGCAACTCACTCACCCCACACAGGGATCTTAGCAGCAACAGTCTCACGGGCTCCATTCCTGACAGTATCACTGCGCTCAGGGCACTCGGATATCTGTAAGAGGCACACTGGGTTTGCTCCATCTGCGTGCTGTTTTGCCCACTGAATGGCGCATGCCATGTGCGCATCACTTCTGGCACTCCTCCACTGCCCATGCACTCTGCATGCCTACTCCTCCCCCCTTCTTCTGTCTGCATCGCGTGGCCACTCCTTTATCTCTGCTGCACCAACCTTGTGATCTCGTTTCATTGAGTTCACGTGTGCCTTGCTTAGTTAAACCCACAGTTGCCACTACACAATCTCTACCTTCACAATCACAAACCTCGACACAGGAATCTTCGGAAGAACAATCTCACGGGTCCTATTCCCGACAGCCTCGTTCCGCAATGGTTCTTCCCTTCTGTCTCACCTAAGGGGGCTGGTATATTTTCTGCTTTCGATAGTTCGCAACTACTGTTTTCGTTTTTTGGAATATTTTAAACATCAGTCTCACGGGTTCAATTTCAGATGGCGGTCTTGTTCCGCAGTGGGCTGTCCCTTCTACCTCACCACCACCACCTAAGCCTTCTGGTATGTTTTCTACTTTGGATTTTTTCACTACTGTTTTCGTTTTTTGCAACTGTGACCTCCGCATGTCACCCCTGGTACCCCTGCTTCCCCTCGTTTCCTTGTTCCCGCTCCCCTTCCCTCCCTCCCCCCAACCCTCCCCCTTTCTTCACAGACAATCACATGCCCTTCTCCCACCCTTCACTTGATTCCACAAGTTCTTTGCTATTGCTCTGATGTGACTCTTCACTCCACCTGCTCTCCTCTTGTCAGGTTCTGTCACTCCACCTGTCAGTGTGGTGGCCGCTGCCATTGCTGTTGCGCTTACCTCACTGCTCTTTGTGTAGAGCAGTGCATTGAACATGGAACAACAGGAGAGACAAGTCAGTGCTTATCGAATTGCAGTGAAAATATAGAATGACACTATAAGTGGCAGCACCCCCACCAGTGTGCCTCTGAAGAAGTTCGCTGTTACATTGTGAGGAGCTCTTGGGATTGTGACTAGAATTATCTTGGTTGCATTAAAGCCCGAGTCTAGAATGGGAAAGATTCTTGAACATGATTTCGCCAGTGAACACGGTAACCCGCCTTTGTGTGGGGCGCCTTCGCGATCCACTTTGAAGGTGTTTGAAGCCAGAGCCTCAGAAGTCAGGATTTTTACCCTGAATTCCTGAAGTTCGACCCTCGTTTTTTCTTGTGACGCTGATGTCTCAGCCCTTTTTTTTAAACGACCCTGATGTTTCAGGGTTTTTTTTATTTCAAACTCTGAATTTCCACTGTTTTGTGTTTGAGGACACGGACGAATCAGTGTTGTATTGGGGTGGACCCTGAAACTGAAAATTCTGTGATTCTCTCATCTCCCCTTGGCCATAATTGGTCCCGTGACTTGCTACATAGGCAGGCAGTCTAGTCAAGTATGACACCTAGTGAATCTTTGCCGAGCGGGATTGAGCCTATGAGCGATGATTGACCAGATTCCTCTCAAGGCCAAAACTCTTGACTTGAGTACAGAAGGTAACAATCAGTGTAACAATGAATAACACCACTGATTGTTCAGCGTTTTTATTTTGTGTACCCTGGAAAATCAGCGTTTTTAATATGACGACACTGAAAATCAGTGTTTGGCCTTTGGGCGAAACTGAGTGGTCAGCGTCAGGCCCTCAGATTCACTTTTAGGGTCGTCAACCCATCAGGGCCCCCTTGTGTGTAAACTCTGATTGACAGTGTTCCGAAAAAAAAAAGCCTGAAATGTCAGTATTGCGTTTGTAAAAAGCCTGATGCATCAGTGTACCACTAATAAAAAGGCTGTCACTAACGCATCGCAAGTGATGGCAACGGGGCAGGATCCTTGGCAGCCATCCAGCACCACATGGTGGCCACGTTCGGATTGGCCAAGACTGACTGCTGCAGCGAAACGGCCGAATGATGTGAGGTGTCGCGCCAACAAAACACCTCTGAACGTGAACCAGAGGCAGAATTTCATAGGGTGGCCTCGCCACGGGGTGCTTACACCTTGGGAATCTGAGATTCCCTGTAATTGCGGTCAAATCCATATGGCACAGGTAAGAATCGTTTCAGTGTTGGTTTCGTTACAACGTTGTGGCGTCAGTGTCCTAGGGGAAAAAAATATGAAATTTCAGTGTGGCCTAAAAAAAAAGGCTGAAAGATCAGTCCCTCAAAATTCTCAACACGGACTTTTCAGGGTACCGTATCCTCCCGGACAAAACACCCCCCCATAATTAAACACCCCCGGGTAGCTTGTGCGGGGTGGGTGTTATGATAGACCTCGTTTCTACTATACCCCCCTTTTTGGCTGATTTTCTATAACACCCCCCTATTCTTACGAATTCATTATTATAGTCGTTAACGAGTAGCTGCAATACGGAAGAATATCGTGTGAATTTCTCCCTCAATGAAATTTCGCGGTACATTCAAAGGCGATCTGCCGAGATTTGCCCCCTCCCACTATTTCTCTGTTGCCACGTGCAGGTGAATCTTCCGTTGCAAGTGGCAAGAGAGGTGTCACATGGCATTTTCGTGAGGGCGATGAAGTTCGAGGCCGAAACCGACATTCGCGCCTCAGGCAGTGATGCTAAAACGACCAGCAAAACTGATGAGATAGAGGCGAAGAATGATGCACTATGAAATGAGAGAAGTACAAGTACCAACCCTAATTGGGTTGTACCCCCTATGGGCTACTCCACTACAGCCTACATATATGCATCAGCAATATATGATCATCTGACACACCCCCATAGGCAAAGTGGGGGAGAGCAAGGGGTCACAAAACCAGTCAAGCAAAGCAAAGCAAAGCAAAGCAAAGCAAAGCAAGCTCAGGGTGGATCTCAAGGATACCACACAAATTCCGAGCACAAGGTCAAGGCCACAAGGCCACTTCACATGCAGCAGAGCATATATATATATATATAACAGTGCTAAACAAGCAAGAGCAAGGATATATATATATGCAGCAGTACAAGCAAGGTCAAGAGGTAAGCAAGTGAGGCCCAGTGGGCACAAGGCCTAGCAGAGTGCAAAAGCGCTGATGGTCACGAGGCGGAAGTGCCTTGGTGAACACATCAGCAGTGTTGGTCTCAGTGGCCACGAAACGCAGAAGAAGCTGACCACGCTGCTGCAGCTCTCGAGCAAGGAAGTAGCGCAGAGCAATGTGCTTCGTCCTGTGCTCCAGTCTGTGCTCCTGACACAAGGCAATGGTTGCCTTGTTGTCGACGTACAGCACTGGAGGAGAACGAGGCCGCTCTCCAAGGTCAGTCAGCAGGTAGGTGAGCCAGCAAAGCTCCTGGGCAGCCATGGCCGTGGCGTCGATCTCAGCCTCACAGCTGGAGCTGAGAACAGAAGAAGAGCGAGTAGAGCGCCAAGAGACAGAGCCAGAGCCAAGACTGAAGGTGTAGCCCTGAGACGACCGCTAAGTAGCCTGGTCGTCAGCCCAAGAAGCGTCTGAGTGCCCAGTGAGCACAAGCCGCTCACGCCCTCCAAGCACTAGCCCCATGCCCGAAGTACTGCACAGGTAGCGCAACACCCTCTTAGTTGCATCCATGTGCTCCTTCCGGTGACGGCCGGGAGCAACATAGCGTGCTAAGATGCTGAGAGGGTATGCGAGGTCAGGTCGAGTGCAGGTCATCAGGTACATGAGGCAGCCCACAAGCTCTGGATACGGACCACTCGACTCTACGGACTCATCCGAGGGCAGAGCTGAGAGCGAGTGTCCCATAGGCAGAGGAGTAGACTGAGGCGAGGAGTACGTGAAGCCGAAGCGCTGAAGGACCTGCTGCACCATGTGTGACTGAGTCAGAGTAATGGTGCGGCGTGCTCTGTCCCGGGTGATCCGCAAGCCAAGATAGCTTGTCAGTTCACCCAGGTCTGTGCACGTGTGTCTCTTCTGCAGCTCGGACTTCACGTGGGCGAGTGCGGCAGTGTCTGCAGTGGCAAAGACCAAGTCGTCGACGTACACGAGGATGTAGAACGGCGGCAGCGAGGTGTCGGTGCGCAGAAATAGCGACGGGTCAGCAGTAGAAGGAGCAAACCCAAGAGCCGCAAGTGTAGTCCTCAGTGTGTCGTGCCACTCACGCGGCGCCTGGCGGAGACCGTAGACTGGCCGTCGGAGGCTCCACTGGGTGCCAGGAGGGAAAGTCCCAGTGAAGCCAGGTGGACGGCGCAGCCAGATCTCCTCGTGCAGGCTGCCCTGCAAGAAAGCAGTGCTGAAGTCAAGAGAGTGTAGCTCGTAGTCACGCTGAGCAGCGACGTGCAGTAGAACCCGAAGAGTGGTCATCTTCGGGGTCGGGGAGAAGGTCTGAAAGAAGTCAACTCCCTGTCGCTGACTGAAGCCACGAGCCACGTAGCGCGCCTTGAAGACAGGCGGAGAACCCAGCGGCCGCTGCACCCTGAAGATCCACATGCCACTGACAATGTTCGCCCCAGGAGGGGGAACAGCGTCAACGTAGGTGCCTGTGGACTTCCAGGAAGCCATCTCTGCGTCCATGGCTGACTGCCACTGAGAGGAGTAGGGACCGGCCATCGCCTCTGCGTAAGAGCGTGGGGTCGGGATGTCTAGAGCATCCGGGTCTCCCTTAGGGGCAACAAGCATGGACACGAGATGGGGCAAAGCGGCGGCAAAGCACTGGAACTCCTCCTGCCTGTCCTCAAGGACGTCCGTGCCACGAGCACAGTCACCCCCGACGGATGGAGGACAGGCAGACGCAGACGCAGCAGACGCAGACTCAGCAGACTCAGCAACACGACTGGCAGCGTAGTCTAGACGACACGCAGCAGCAAAGTCGACCAGCTCAGCAACTAGGGCACACGCAGCAGCGGACTCAAAAGAAGGGTCAGTGACAAGAGAAGCAAGAAGACGCGTGAAAGTAGGGCTGACAGCACGGCGAGAGTCCGACTCCGGGTCGGCAAGTGTAGGAAGAGAAGACTGAGGAGGAGAAGGCAAAGGGGCACGCAGAGGAGCAGTGGACGGACGCAGAGACATCCTGTGTGTGCAGGGACAGGAGGAGGACGCGGACGCGAACCGCGACCACTAGGGCGAGCAGCTCGGACTGGCGACGCAGGGCGGGACGCAGGCTCACGTCGCTCAGCAAGACCTCCTGTAGGACCAGTGTAGGGAGAAGGAGAAGCCAGGGGAGAGGCGGGCTGTAACTGTGACTACGGCGGGACAGGCTGTGGACACCCTACGGGAGGAGAAGGACCAGTGGAAGGCGGTAGACCAAGAACCTGCTGAAGGAGCGGAACAAAGTACGGCCGAGGCCGCGCAGCACCGCCAGACACAGCAGGGACAGCACCAACACCTCCAGAGGCAGCACCAGCACCAGTAGCAGCTCCAACTCCAGCACCTTCAGCAGCGCCAGAAGTACCCTCTGTAGGACCGGCCGTCGTAGACTCAGCGCCAGCACCCGCAGCAGCTCCAGCTCCAGAGGCACCCCCGGGCCCGGCAGCTCCAGCACTCTCAGTACGAGCACCTCCGGGACCCGTGGTACCAGCTCCCTCGGCAGCAACAGAACCTCCAGCACCTGAAGCTCCAGCAGCTCGCCTCCAGCGCCGGGTAAACCACTCACGCAGCTCCAGAGGAGAGATGGGCTCGCGGCACGAAGAACGGTCCGGAGAACCATCAGGAACAGAAGCAGCAGGCGCAGCACTCCCAATCGAAGCACCCCCAGACGCAGTACCCCCAGGCTCAGCACCCCCAGGCTCAGCACTCCCAGGCTCAGCACCCCCAGGCTCAGCACCCCCAGGCTCAGCACCCCCAGCCACAGCACCCCCAGACTCAGCACCCCCAGGCTCAGCACCCCCAGGCTCAGCACCCCCAGGCTCAGCACCCCCAGGC